TCTCTGAGATGTACCTGTATTTTAAATTCCCAGTTCAGTAATTGCAACATCTCTGACATATGAGTCTGGTTCTGATATTTGCTGTTTTCCAGCTGTGTTTTTTGTGTTTAGTAGCCTTGTAATTTTATGTCGAAAGCCAAACATGATGTTCTGGGTAAGCAGAACTATTTTAGATAGGCCTTTGGTAATGTGGTGGTAAGGTGTCAGGGAGGGAGAACCCTCTATAGTTCTATGGGTAGTTGTCAGTCTTTCGGTGAGCCTGTGCTCTGGGCTATGAACTTCGTAAGTGCTTCTCAGTTTTCTTCCCATTTAGGTGAAATAGGATGGCTAGAGGGGACAGAGTTGGGTATTTTCCTTCCCGCAGGTTGGCTAGGCTCTGATAAAGCCCCAGTAGGTTAGGCCTGGTAAAATAAATCCTCCTGAGGGCAGGCATTGTTAAGAACAGAATGCTATGTCATATTTCAGAATGATTCCTTTTCTCCTCCTCCTCCTACTGGAAGTACTTGGGGCTTTTTCTCACTGTGAGAACCTGGTCTAACTCCTGGAGATAAAACTTATTAAAGTGTTGGGCTTCCCCTAACACTGGACCCCCTGGAGTTTTTATCAGACTTGTCCATGTTAACCCTCCAGCAACTCTTCAGTCACAGTGCAGGTTTTCCTACCCTGGTACGGGTTCCTACACAGGATTCTACTCCAGTATGTTGGGACACTCTGTATCTGCCTGTTTGTCTTCAATTTTGGGGGCAGCGGATTTGTCTTACGGATCTAAGAGTAGTTGTGGATTTTTCAGTTTAGCCTTTTTTTTTTTTACTAGTTAGGATGGAGTAATGATGTCTAAGCTCTTTATACACCAGATTGGAAACCAGAATTGCTCTTAATGTGCTGCTTTAATCTGGGAAAATTCCTCATTATTATGTCTTTAAATATATTCTTCCTTTATTATTTTCCTCTTCTTCTGGACTCTTAATATGGATGTTGGCAACATTACTTCTCTTCCTTTGCCTTTTTGAAGAAATCCTTGACCTGTCCCTAACATCACTAATTGAGTGCTTTATTTCTGTGATCATGTGTTCAATATCTGCTAATGAATGTGAGATGCTTCATAGCAACCCATTCCAGTTTCCCGGCTCCTCCATTACCTTGAGCCTAGTTATTACTATCTTTTTCTTTTGTAACAGCTTTATCGAGATACAATTCATATACCTTACAATTCGCCCATTTAAAGTGTACAATTCAGTGGTTTCTAGTATATTCACAGAGTGGAACCATAATCAATTTTAGAACATTTTATAACCCCGGAAAGGAACCGTGACCTCGTTAGCTTTTACTACTCAACCCTCTGCTCCTAGCGCCACCTCCACCCCTACCCCATTAATTAATCTCTTTCTGCCTCTGTAAATTTACCTATTCTGGACATTTCACATAAATAGAATAACATAATATGTGACCTTTTGTGATCACCTTCTTTCACTTAGCATGATGTTTTCAAGATTCATCCACGTTGTAGCTTATATTAGTATTAATACTTCATTCCTTTTTATGGCTAGACCATTGTATGGATATTCCATTGTATGGATAGACCACGTTTTATTTATCCGTTCATTAGTTGATGGACATTTGGGTTGTCTCCACCTTTTGGCCATGAACATAATCTACTCTCAGCATTTATATATTATACATATTTTTGTGTGGACATATATTTTTATTCTCTGGATGTAGAGCTAGGAGGGGAATTGCTGGGTCAAATGGTAACTCTATGTTTGGCTTTTTGAAGAACTGTTAAACTGTCTTCCAAAGTGGCTGCACCATTTTACATTCCTACCAGCAATGTATGAAGATTCTAATTTCTCCACACATCCTTTCCATGCTGTTATCTGTCTTTTGATGATAGCCATCCTAGTGGGTGTGAAGTGGTATCTCATTGTAGTTTGAATTCGTACTTCCCCAATGACTATTTATTATATTTTTTAAAAAATTCTTGTCTGTTCGGTATATTAATTCTGCTTTTTCCTGTACAGTTTGTTTAGTTTGTTATCCTTCTTTTGCTTTCTTGAACTCTTTATTTACAAGTGTCAGTTTTTTTTCCCCGTGAGCTCATATCCCCTCAGTGTTTTCAGCTACCTTTGCTGGTAGTATATACCTGAGGGGAAGAGCAAAAGCCTAATTCCTAGCTTGTGACCCTCTCAGCAAGTTTAGTAAAATGGGAGGCTCTGGGTGAATCCACTTCCGGTCCTCACCTTTCTCCACAATCAGGCAACCTCGCCTCGCAGGGAACCCCCAGGACCTCTGGCCCAGTCGCTGCTTTTTACCTCCCTCTGCATATGCTGCCTGGGGTTGTGGAATGCTCAGGGGCTGTCCAGAATGGGGTTTGCCCTCTACCTCAGAAAGGCTCCAGCACTGCTCTGGCATCACCCTCCAGCTGACGCTTGGCTGGCAGAGTTGATTGGCAGTGATCTCCCTCTCCCAGAGAAACGTATGGGAGAGGAGGTGGCATAACCAGGCAGCCCCCGGCTCTATCTGTGGGGCAGACCCTTTCTCTGCTCTCTCCACTCAGCTACTTCACTGGTACCTGACGCCCTTTGACCTCTCTGGGCTTTCTCCCAGCCTTGTATTCCGTCTTCCCTCTCAACATGTGGTATCTCCCAGGTTGGGTTTGGCACAGGACCCAGCAGCCCACCTAGCTCTCCATTTGTTCAGAACTAGAAGTTTGAAGAAACTCATTTAACATTTTCCACACTTATTTGACTTTGGGGTGCTTTTCTTCCCCACCACTTTGTCATTCACCAGACGTAAGTTGAATATTTAGTATGTGCCAAGCACTATTCTAGCCGGAGATACTACAGTGAATTGAGACAGAGAAGGTCCCTTAAGGAGCTGACATCCTTGAGCAGGGAGATGATAGTAACTAGCTCGCCAAGCAAACAGCATTACTCATGCAAGGTGAGTGCTGTAGGGGGGTGGAGTGAAGGGCAGGGGCACCCCTCTGTGCTTGGAGGTCAGGATGGCCTCTCTGTGGTGGTAGCTCTTGAATTAAGTCCTGATTCACAGGGAGGAGCCAGGGTGAAAAAGGGTCAGGGCTGAAGGCCCAGGTGTAGGACCTAAGGCAGGAGTAAGGTATGTGTATGTGGCTGGGACTAGGTGACGACAGAGGAATGGGGTGCTAGGCATTGAGGCCACAGAATGACAGGGGCCAGAGCCTGCAGGATTCTGCAGGCTGTAGGTGAAGAGTTTTGGAGCCATGTAGGAGTTTTGATCAAGGAAAGTGAATTTGTGTTTCTGGAAGAATCTGGCTTCTGTGTGGAGACCATGTATGGGGTAAGAGTGGGAGCAGAGAGGCCACCAGGAGGCAGTGAGATGGCCAAGGTGGCCTGGGGTGGCTTAGACTAGGGTGAGAGCAGAGAGATGGGAAGAAGTTGGGGATCTGTATAATATCAGTGGAGATCCTCAGGACTCACTTTGAGACATTAACCAGATAGAAAGAGCATTCTTTGCACCAGTAGTTTAGTGGCTGGTGTTTTAGTTATCTGTTGCTACATTATATATCACTCCAAAACTTAGTGGCTTACACCAATAACTGTTTAATGTTTCTTCTGATTTTGTGGATTTTTTGTGCTCAGCTGGGTGGTTCTTCTACTCCATGGGCTGGAGGTCACTTGTGTGCTGCATTTGCCTGGGAGCTGGGTTGGGATTAGAATGATCAAGAGAGCTTTTCTTCTTCTAGAGCCTGTCTCCATGTGGCCTCTAGTCATGCCCTGGTCTAGCTGGGACAGCATGGCACCTGGACTCCAAGAGGGAGAAATGTGGAAGCTGCCAGTCGTAGTAAGACCTTGGACGTCCCAGAATGTTACTTCTGCCACTTTTTGATTGGTCAAAGCCATTCACAAGGCCCACCCAGATTCAAGAGGAAGGGAAATTGACTCTGCCTTCTGATATGAGGAGCCACTTATACCTACAGGGGTGGGAGGAATTATTAGTGGCCATATTTGAAAAGTATATACTACAGCTTTGAATTTTACTTTGATATTTTAAGGCTTGGAAGAATTTCAGAATTAGCTTTTGAAAATTTTGGTGTCCAGCTTGGGAAAGTATGAGAACAAGTTGTGAAGGAAGGAATCTTCCTCGTCTTTCAACGAAGTTATTTTCTAGGTTAAGAGCTAACTGATTCCACAAAAACAACTCAGGTTTCTAAACTTCATCCAACCCTTGGCAAACCACTTTATAAATGTGCCTTTTCCCTTTAATCTTCCATCTGAGTTCTTTGCTATGAAACCCTAATTGCACATGTTGTGTTGCTACATGACTGAGGGCCCTAGAGCGGCACTCACTGAAGAACAGCACATCTTCAGTCCAGCTCTTGGTGTTCAAAAGGAAATGCATAGAATCCACCAGTACTGTTAGGATACTCTCCTAAGGAACAAATGCCCCATCCTCATTGAACCTCTGGCAGGGTCTCTCTGCTGTTGAGATTTGTTTTATGGATGATAATCTACATCATTCCCAGTTTTGTCCAATTTATTCATTGGAAAAGAGCTGTATTTCAAAAAACCTGTATACAAGCACAGCAGTAATTGGCCCCTATGGCTCTTTGGATAACAGAGTGGTCAGATTATATGACCCATACATGCCACTCATTTGATACTAGTGCTGGTTAATATTTAGTGAATAGGTTAAAGGTGTAATTGGACAAAATAAAGCCTAAAGAGGCTATAAATCCAGTGTTCAGTCCTGCATTTTGCTCACTTAAATGAGTTAACATTTTTAAATAACATCAAAATTTTAAAAATTATTTTGATTTTTAAGCTGTTACAACTGGGGTTAGTTTTTCATACCTAGTTTTTTGCAAAGGTGCCTACAAACTTTGTATTGAAGCTTGAGCTTTCCAAATAGGTAATGCAAAAAGACTTTTCTGCCACATAAAAATATCATACTAATTATATATAGAAATTAACCAATCCTCTGAGTAATTTTACTTCTATATAACCAGTGTTGCTTTTACACAGACTGCCTTGCCATCCAGGAAAGGATTTCGGCACCAGACCACCAAGTTTTTGTATCGTTTGGTGGGATCAGAAGATATGGCTGTGGACCAAAGTATTGTCAGCCCTTACACTTCTCGGATCTTGAAACCTTATATCAGGTATATGAAGAAGAAGAGGTGTGATGTAAACTGTGTCATGAGGGATAATGATTGCAGTTTCTGTACTTTGTTCTCCTGTTGGTGAGAATAAAGACCAAAAACTGAGAACAGGCATTAGCAAGGACTGAGTTCTGTGCTCCATCTCCAGTTTCATCCTTTGCTTGTTTCAACTGTACTTTTTTTGCAGAAAACACAGTCCTTTGAAAGAAACTTAAAAAGCAAGAATAAGTTAACTGTTAGATTTCTTTGTGATTATCATAATCATTGTTTTATTTTAAATATTAAAGTTGTATATATTTAGGATAGCCTGTGAAATGAAAAAATGGGCAAGACAGTTAAGTCTATCTGGACTAGATGTTGGGCCAGTTTCTAATAATGAGTTTCATTGTCCAGGCAGTGAAATGGAAGCTGAGCTTGCTGGAGAGGCCCCTAGCAGTGTCTGGCACTGTGATCGAGTGGGCCCTCTATTGCCTTTGTTGCACCCACAGGTGCTCTGCCGCTCCATAATGGCCCTGACCCTTCACGCTCGGCATTGCGTTTCTGAACAAACACACTGAAAGGCAGTTTGTGAGCCTGCTCCAGGCTCACCTTGTCTTTGGTGTTCTTCAACTGCCCAGCAAAGTTGGATGTCTCCTCTTCTGTCCTCCAAAAGCACTGGAGATGCATCCCTGTGTCTTAGCACTCCTCAGGTTGAATCCGATGCTGTTTCTGTTTCCTCACTTTGTTCATGAAGGCACCTAGTACAGTCCCTCGTGGGTATAGAGGGGCGTGACCTGATGAATGTTAGTAAATTTTAGATTTCATACCAGGAAAATCTACAGTTTTATTCAAGCTAGCTCCCATGTAAAGCAGTACCAATTAGTTTAAAATTTCAAGCAGATCAAAGAGTTTATGTTAGTCAAATAGCTAGGAATAATATTAGGTATTGTTCTTGACTCGAATTTGTTTATTTTCTGTGGTACTGGAGGCGTGATTATGAAACAAAGCCACCCAAACTACAGCTCCTGTCACAGATTCGCTCCCACCTGCACAGAAGTGACCCTCACTGGACACCTGAGCCTGACGCGCCTCTTGATTACTGCTATGTCCGGCCAAATCACATCCCGACGATCAACTCTATGTGTCAGGAGTTCTTCTGGCCTGGTATGTTCCCCCTTTTCAAACCCAGCAGATCATTCTTCTGTGTAGTTCATTCTAGTACTTTTTAAAATTAGTGTGTGTCATGTGACCTAAGACCTTTACTCATATGATTAGTTAGTTTGTCTCCACTAAACATATAAATATTAAAATATAAATACCTCTTGCTTTCCTAAAATCAAGAAGAAGCCAGCAATTAGAGTAATAAACAGTGTTTTTGTTTCTCTCCCTTGTTTGTCTCTGCTTCCAGAATAAAAGATTCATCCTGTTTTGCTTCTACATATATTTAGATACCAGGTAATGTCTATCAAAGATACACAGATTGGCAGCTTGGGCATGTTTGGACACTTGTTTTTGGCTTAGTAATTCTTTATGTTTTGTTTATTTAGCTGTTCCTTAGAGACTGTTAGTATAGCCAAAAGGTGTTTTTAAAAAGTCAAATACTAATGGTGATATTTTAGATATTTTAGTTAAATAAAATGTATTGTTAAAATTAAAAAAATAAAGTCAAATACCCCAATCACAGACTTCGAGAATAAGAGTAAACCCAATATGACTTGTCATTTTATCAGCCTTAACAAAATTGTCTCTGAAGAGCAAAGGTATTAATAAAGGACACATTTTAATTGGTAAATATAAACATGTTCTTTATGGATCTGTTTTCCCACACTACTTTGAAGCCTAAAGGAAATAATACATGTCTTCCAGATATTAGATAAAAGATTTCATCAGGATTAGAGCTGTGGCATTTTATTGTCTGATAATCATGTAACAGTGCATGTGGTGACAGTACTCATTCTTTTAGGAGTGGTACTGGGCCCACAGTAACATTCTGGGAGCATCTCTGCTTCCTGCCCGTATGTTAGATGCCTTCCATACATTATGCATAGAATCATTTTCTACTTCTTTATTGTGAAAGGTAGCATTCCTGCGAAAGCTTATAAACTGTGTGTGTATGGGGTAAAGAACGTGACAGGAGCACTCCCAGGAGGTCTTTACCCCAACTCTGTCAGGCCTAGGCATGTTGCAGAAACTGAGGCCCTGAGACGTTTTGAAATGTGCCAGGTGACACATGTGGTAGAGGAGGCTGAGTTCAAAGCCAGGTATGTCCAATTCTGAGCCTGTGCACTGCTGCCCACCCATCCTGCCTCTCTTCTTTTAACATTTGCACTTAGGAAAGACTATGTTAATTTCAGTATTTTCTAAAATTCATTTTTATTTTCATGATCTGAATGTGTGGTATCTATGGTGATACTTTGTCTCCAATTTTGGTTTTGTTTTTTTTTTTTAGCATGCAGGTGTAGCTATAGGTACAGACTGAAAAGCTTGGTGTTCATTAATTCCAAAAGGCACACAGGTTGACTCTCTGTTGTTTCTTTTCTTTAGGCATTGACCTGTCTGAGTGCCTGCAGTACCCAGACTTCAGTGTTGTTGTCCTTTATAAAAAAGTCATCATTGCCTTTGGCTTCATGGTTCCCGATGTGAAATACAATGAAGCTTACATTTCATTTCTGTTTGTCCATCCTGAATGGAGAAGAGCTGGAATTGCAACTTTCATGATCTATCATCTGATTCAGGTAAGTTGTGCTTATGATTTACCATCTTGCCTCTGGGTTCACCTGAAAGACTTGGAGGAGGAACAAAAGCTGAGCTAGTTCTTCCCAGCACGGCCCAAGGGAATGGGTTGCCGTGTGAAAGAAAGCCAGTCATCACCATTTATGAGGTTATTAAAGCACACAGACAGAAATCTCTGACCCTCTAAAGTATGATTATTGTTCAGAGAAACCAGTTTGTAAACGTGTGCAATAAATAAAATGAGAAAACATCAGAAGTAAGACCCTAAAGCATGTGTACTATCCATGTTAGTAACTGCTGCTGCTTTTAGAATCATCACTGTCACAGCTCTGACAAGTGGGAGTAGAACTGTGATTTTACTTTTTTTTAGGTATTTGTAAACATTTTAGTACAACTGTATCAATAAGTAGTATGGGCCATGCATGGTGACTCACGCCTGTAATCCTCGCACTCCGGGAGGCCGAGGGAGGAGGATTGCTTGAACTCGAGAATTGGAGACCAGCCTGAGCAAGAGCGAGACCCTGTCTTTACTAAAAAAAAAAAATAGAAAAATTAGCTGGGTGTGGTGGCACGTGCCTGTAGTCCCAGCTATTCAGGAGGCTGAGGCAGGAGGATCACTTGAGTCCAGGAATTTGAGGTTACAGTGAGCTATAATGACCCCACTGCACTCTACCCAGGGTAACAGAGCAAGACTCTGCTCTGTCACTCCACAAAAAAAATGCGAAGCGAAGAAAGAAATCAAGGTTGATTTCTATGCTTTTACACTAGAGCAAGACTCTGCTCTGTCTCAAAAAAAAAAAAAAAGTAGTACCTATTCTATTATTGCTGATTGTTTTTCATTTTTACTATCACTGTATAAGCTAAGCTGATAAGAACCATCTAAGACTTGATTCTAATAATGAATTATAATTCATCTGTTGATATGTTTGTATCACTTTAAAGAAAATATATCATATATTAATGTCTATAAAAAAAATGCAAAGATTTTTTTCCCCCAGAATTTTTCTGGTAACTATTATCAAGAAGCCATTTAGTATGGAGGACTGTATATTATGTGGGTAAGATTCCTTTTAAAGAGAGGATAGAGATGGTAAATTGTTGTTTTTCTAATTTTTTAATGAAACTTGCTTAATAATTCCCAAATGTTGGCAGGAACCTTGAGAACCATCTTCCTAGAAAATTTTTTTTTTCTCCTCAGTCTGTGATTATGTGAATCACTCACTGGGTAATTAGTATGTGCTACCTCGTGTTGTTGTTTTCTCCTGAGACTATCTCAGTCATTTCTACCACATCCCCCTTTCTCTGCCCCACCCACCCACAGAATTGATCTCTACTCTGTATTCATCTCTGTATCCTAGTAGAATGTTTACAGAATTTTCTGCCTTATCTGTTACCAGTAAGGGCCTGAGGATAGGGCAGGGATGGTACTTTAATATGTGTGTGTCATTGGTGCCCAATACAAGGCCTGGCGCAGAGTCAGTCCTTACTGAAGGTTTGCTGGGTGGTTGGAGGAGTCATTCATCTTTGTATGTGGGTACCTTGCCCCCAGCCAGCCCATACACCCCAGGGTCCAAACACAGGAGGTGCTCAATCAGTAGTACTTGGTGTTGGCCATGGTTAGACCATGTATACTTGCAATCTAAAGAACACTAACATCACCCCTCAAAGTTTACTTTAAAAACTTACCACATGCTCTTGTCTCTTCTTGAACTCCTGACCTCAAGCAATTCTTCTGCCTCGGCCTTCCTGAGTGCTAGTATTACAGGCATGAGCCACCATACCCAGACTGTCCTTGATATACTAGTAGTGCTCTTTTGTCCTGAAAATGTCTTTCGATACACAGTGTGACTTAAGCAGAGAAACTAAGGGAGCTGTCAGATGGCCCTTGGCAGAGGAGTTCTTAAACAGAGGCCTAGGGGAACCATGCATTATAAATCTCAAGGACTTTATCAACTTCAGTATTTCAGTGCCTTGCTCATTAAAAAATAAGTCCTTAATTTATGTGACTTTTGGGATTCCTTATTCTGTGTGGCTAATTAAAAGCATCTAAAAACTTGCCTTGTGTTGACAGAACGATTATTACTCTTTTCCCCTAAGATTAGGCCAATGCTGAATATAGAAATCTCAGTTCTAAGAAGCTAATTCTGTCAGTTTTAGAGGAATGGAGGGTAGACTTTGGAACTCAGAGGGTCTATTGGTCCTCAGGTTTGATAATTAAATTCGTAATATTTTATATTTGTGCATGAGGCTTAGCATCTTTTCTAGCTGGTCTAGGAAGGGAATTTTTACAAGTTTTGAGAGGTTATAAGATAACTTTGTTCTCTGCTTCTTCAGAGTTGTCATAGTGTTGGGTATTGATGTGTTTGACATGTTTAAATGTAATTGAATTATAAATAAAATAATAAAATCGGCAATAAAATATATCTCTCTTGGCCCTTTGCTTTACAAAAGAAAACCAAAAATGTCCAGAATGCTATCAGTTTCCTTAATCTTGTGAACGTTTTGATCAGCAGCAAAATGTCATTCATTTTCCAGCTGTTGCTAGGTGTTGTAGTGTCTCAGCCTCAGTTTCTGATTTCTCTGATTTCCATAACTACCTACTCACACTTAAAAGAGTTTCTCTTCACCTACTCATTTTCCCTCAGGCCTTTCTATTTTCATCTTGTGTTTTTCCACTCTTTTGGCAGACCTGCATGGGCAAGGATGTAACCCTTCACGTCTCGGCAAGCAACCCCGCCATGCTGCTATACCAGAAGTTTGGATTCAAGACTGAAGAATATGTTTTAGATTTTTATGATAAATATTACCCGTTGGAGAGTACAGAGTGTAAACATGCATTCTTTCTGAGGCTCAGGCGCTGATGTGAATATAGCCCTTAACAGAGAAACACATATGCTATTAGAGAATGGTTCTTCACCCAACCTAAAGGCAGTGATTCATTTCATGGTGGCTTCTAATGTTCTCTGCGATTATAGTCCTTCAGACCTCTCAACTAAGGTGAGCAAAGTGGTGGGCGGTGAAATGAGCAGTGAGCAGCCCTTCAGCAAAATCACTCTCTAGTCCTTTCTGGGGAGGCCTCCAGCCAACATCCTGGACTCTGCAGTTGACTCAGACTGAATGATGCTGCTCTCCCCTTCCACCTGGCAATCTGTAAGAGTGAAAGAGCATCTCAGTTGATAGTCTTGGTGAGAGACAATCTGTCCTACCTTAAAGGATGAGGTGTGATAGCTATTAAAAGATTCATGCAGAGGTGGGAGGATAGCTACAGCTCAGGGGTTCAACACCAGCCTGAGCACAGTGAGATCCTGTCTCTATCCCTAGAAACAAGAAACAAACAAAAAAAAAGACAAACACACACACACACACACACACACACACAAAGATTCATGCAGTCCCAAGAGGCACTGTCCTATCCTGGGATGATGAGAGATTATGAGATGATTTCATGCAGGGATTCCAGCCCTGTTCCCAGCCATCGATGGGTTGTCATTCAGTCCAGAAGGACTTCTAGGGCACTGAAGTTTTGTTGTCTCTTTTGCTGACTTTGGTCATCATCAGTAAAAATAAATGTTTGTGTCAACGCATTGTTTTACTTACTCTGTTAGCATCTCCCGCAGACACTTAGGCCTGGGAATGGAGGATCCCATTCTCCCATGGCCAGTGAAGTTGGTTCGGGGTTAGTGCGGCTGAGCAGCCTGCCATTCAGCCTTCACTGGCCATTCTCACACCCCGGACAGTTGCGCCTCAGAGTGGAGGGTTGGGTGGTATGAGTAGAACCTACGGTGGATATACCCTGTATTGTCTGTAGGGCCAGGCTGTTTGGTGTGCTTGCAGGTGTTGGAGATAGACTGTCAATCAGTTTGTTTTGGATCCAGCAAGAACATTTCCAAAAGTTTCAGATGTCGTCAAATAAAAAGCTTTCCTTATAATACCATGGCTAGAGCTTCCATATGGTCAGTTTCCTTTCAAACCCTCTTCAAGTAAGATCAGTGGTTCTTAACTTTTTAGGATGTGGATTGCTTTGAAAATCCAAAGAAAGCTGAATACTCTCTAGAAAACTGTCATGCATATTTAAAATTTTGCATCAAGAGGCTGTACTTGCAGCCAGCTTCAATTCCTTTGTTGAAGGGGGAATGCGTTGAGCTCTCACATTAAGACAATTTGGAAATTGTTCAGTCAGCTGGGGAAACAGTTTAGGCTTCATTTCATTTGTGTGAGGAACTGGTAGCAGCAGAGTCTCGTTTCTTTGTTTTTCTTTCCCTGTCTCCCTCCCAAGAGCTTTCTACCTTTGACAGTTTTGTTTTGCAAAATGGATTGCAACCCCATGAATTAAAATTGTGGAAGCAACATTTCCAAACCAACTTGTGATTGTTGCATGTGAATTTCAAGCATTTGTTGTTGAGAAGGGTGGCCGAACCAATTGTCTCCAATTGTTTCCATAACTTCAGGAAGCTGAGGAAAGCTGTGATTGCTTTAATTGACTCATTATTTTACATTTTTTAATTATGAAAATTTTCAGTCGTACACAAAGAGATGATGCAACAGAACCCCATCATCCATATTCAACAGTTATCAAGATTCTGCCATATTTGCTTCATTTGTCTTTTTGTTTCTTTGCTGAAGTATTTTAAAGTAAATCTCAGATACATAATTTCACCACTATTTAGGTGGGTAATTCCATAAAAATACGGATATTTTCTTACATAACCTCAATGCCCATTATCCCTCCTGTAACAAAGTGAACGCATTTTTGGGATTATCTAGTAGCTGACCTGTAGTCATACCTTCTGGATTGTCTCAGAAATGCCTTTTACAGTTGGTTTGTTTGGATCAGTGGCCAAGCAGGTGTCATTTGAGTGACTTACTGTCCTGTCTCCACAGTCTGTGTCTAGTCTCCTGCTTTATTATTCCCCTGCCACTGATTTGTCACAGAAACCAATCAGTTGCCCTGTGGAGTGTCCCACATTGTGGGTTGTCTGTTGTGTCCGTTGTGCAGTGGACTGACTGAACAAGGTGAGAAGTGGACTTGTCTTTGTCTCTTTAGTGGGGGCCTGAGGAAAGCTGACTTTCCCTCTCCCACCCGAGTCCCTGCTTGGGTGTCCAGGCATGGCCGTTTCCCAAGGGTGGGCTTGGCAGCCCCAATACATGGTTTTGATCTGCCTTCCTCTCTGGCCCTTCCCCTGGGCTTGCACTGTAATAAACCCTGAACTAGTCCTCTAAAGGTGATTCTTCACAGTGTAAGCAGTAGGGGCTGAGTGTGGAAGAACCGTGTTTTGGTGGATTTACAGTCATAATTTACTTTGAAATTTCAGAATCTCAGGTAAGGAGGAGGGCTTGTTTTTTCATGCCACAAAAGTGAGCATGAGTTTTAAAAAGCTGAGGTGTCTTTTGTTGTGTGTTCCTGAGGAGTCTGGATTGTCGCCTTGGGAGTCTGGCCAGTGGTAGCCAGGTGGGCCTTCGGGATCCCTCTAGGGGTAGCAGTGTGACCAGAAGCAATGGTGTAAGTAATGATTTACCCATAGTCTTTTTCTATGGTGGTTGAGTTCTGTTTATAGCAGGATGTTTGAGAACTTAAACATAATTTTGAATTTTTTAAAGGCAGTTAACATATTTTATGCAAGTTTTCATCACCTAAAAGACACATTGCCTTGGGAGCTTTCCTGGAACTGCCCCCTGCATGTAGGCTTGGGGTCTCCACTACAGCCCTAGGGAGAAGCAGCCAGGCCAACCCCACAATGCTTGGGTGCATTATACTGGTTAAGGACATTCTTCAGATAGCTAATAGCAGGAAGTTATGGTAAAATGTATTAATATTAAATAAAAGCCAGGAGGGACCACAAAGCCAAGAGAGGCCTAGGGCTAGGAAGGGACACAGCACCAGAAAGGGTCTCAGAGCCAGGGGGGTGAGGGGGCTTGTCAAAGAGCTGGGGAGGTGACACAGAGGCAGAAGGGGGTCAGATATCCAGGAGGGTCCTCAGAGCCAGGAGGGACAGAGCCACAGGGGGCCTCATAGAGTCAGGAGGTGCTCAGGCCAGGAAAGGACACAGAGCCAGGTGGAGGTCTCAGAGCCTGGAAGGACCTCAGGGCCAGAAGGGGCCACAAAGCCAAAAGGAGCCTCAGAGCCAGGAGGTTCCTCAGGGTCATGAGGGGTCACAGAGCCAGAAGGAACCTCAGGACCGGGAGGAGACACAGAGCCTGGATTGGCCTTAGAACCAGGAGGGGTCATAGAGCCAGAAGGGGCCTCTGGGCAAGCAGGGACCTCAGAGACAGGAAGGGACACAGAGCCATTAGAGGACAAAGAACCAGGATGGGCCATAGAGTCTAGAGGGGTCTAAGGGCCAGGAGGATTCTCAGGGCCTGGAAGGGCCTCAGGTTTGAAAAGGGGGGCATCAGATCTAGGCAGGGACACAGATCCATGGGGGAGTTCACATGGCCAGGAGAGGCCACGTAGCCAGGAGGGGCTTCAGGGCCAGGAGGGGACACAGGGCTAGGAGGGGCCTCAAGTCTGAGAGCATCCTCAGGGCCAGGAGGGGCACAGAGGCAGGAAGGGCCTGAGTGTCATGGAGGGGGGGCCTCAGAATTAGAAGGGGACACCGAGCTAGACTGTGACCCCGGGCCAGGATTGGTGACAGAGCCATTAGGGGTCAAAGAGCTAGGAGGGCTCTTGTAGTCAGGAGATGGGACATAGAGCCAGGATGGGCCACAGAACAAGAAGAGGACCAGGGGTTGGGGTCCCAGAGCCAGGAGGTGCCCTGCGGGTGGGAGAGGCCTGCAGCCTGAGCTCAGATGGGAGGGCCTGGCTAGACCTGAGGAAGGAGGGAAAAGCCTGACCTTGAGGTAAAGAAAGCCAGGACAGTTAGCACAGGCGTGTTCTACTTTTTATTTTATGTTTTTTCATATATATGTACACACACAGACACACTCACATATATGAAGCAAAATGCATTCAAACTGAGGGAGGATCGGTATGAAGTGAAAATAGTCATGCTCAGTCCCAGCCTTAACATGGGGAAGCTCCTTACAGGCGATTGTCTGTGCTTCCAGGTGACAGTGGGGGTGGAAAGGCAAACAGTCCTCCCGTCTACTTCTATTTGTAAATTTCCTGCACTGTGAGAAGCTTTTGTAATCAACCGGTCTACCTTTAAACAGGATGCCCAGAGCTTAGGCTTTAGGGCATCCAATTCCACCAGACTGTCCTACACCCACTCGGTGGTGTGTGTGCTGAGCTTCCCCATCTGCGCAGTGGGACATTCTCGCTGGAGAAGTCATAGGAAGAACTTTGGACGTGGGGTCAGGGGCTCACAGCCTCCAGGGCTGGCTGAGGATTCCCTGCCTCTCACAGTGGCTCTGGGCCCATCCCCCAGAGAGAGCCACAGGACACGGGGGACTCTGGTCTGGGAATGTCCCAGCACGTGGTGAAGGCAAACACTCCCAATTCCCCTAGACAGTGCAGGGTCATCAACGGAGGGGCTGCCCCATATTCCATGCAGAAGTGAATCTGCTTCAAAGCAAGTTCTTTCCATTAAGAGGTCCTAGCAGAGGGTTCCCCAGGCTCTTTCTGGAGGTGGGGAGTTCATCTGTAGTTCTAGCCTGCTTTTTCCTGCTGCAGAGCTGGAGATTAGACTCAGGGCTGCCTGGGCGCCCAGGCCTAAGCCCTTGGGGACCCAGCAGGCCTGGGGCATCCCTGGAAACAGTGTAGAAAGCGGGTGAGACACCTGCTTGTCCTCTCCACTCTCATTTCCACAGCAAGTGTAACACAGCCTCCTGACCTCTCAAGGAGGGTTTGTCCTGCTATTGGCAGCTGAGTCCTACTCCTCCACTGAGCTCCACGAATTTGGTGGAGGGAAGATTTGCAGGAATCTACTGCGTGTTGGCCGGGGGCCTGGGTCTCAGCCTCTCGCCCCGTGCCTGTGTTTCTGTTGTATATGTGGGCTGTCAGCCTAAAGGAAAGAGGCTGAGGCACAAAATATAGTTTAAAGACTTTACTGGAGCCAAAGTGAGGACATCTGCCCAGAGGACTCAGACCCAAGTGACCCTGTCAATGAACCCTATTTGGGCTTTGTTACAACCAGATTTTTAAAGGCAAAAATGGGGGATGGAGTGGGCCGATATTAAGTCTTTTGTCAGGAATTCTCATTGGTTTACAAAGATAACGTTGATTAGTGAGTGGTATACATTGTTAAGCTATCAGGTTATAGTGCAGGAGGAGTATTATCAGCTTAATTTGTGTCTACTTGTGGCAACAGCAAGCAGTTTCAAGAGATGAATATATAGCTATACCACAAAATG